TAAATTAAGCAACTGAAAATACCACTTTTTCGACGTTTGTGTTTTCTTCATATCAAGCTTCGTTTTCGAAAAAAAAAGTAAATTAGCAAAATGTCCACCTTCTGATAAAATACACAACTGCAATCGATTTGTCATTGATTATCTGACACGTTCAAAAATACCTGGAGTATTCCTCATGACAATGCAATTGTCAATTATTCGATTCATCAAGTCATTCACATCTTATACGGGAGTTTCATAAACGAAAGCCTTCAGACTACCTCATAAATAGAAATCCAGAGGATTCATATCAGGACTGCGAGTTGGCCAATTTCAAGGTCCTACACGTTCAATCCAGCGATTAGGGTAGTAAAAAATAGGTCAATTAGGAAGTCACGAAAATCCTAACGAAAATTTTTGCTGAAAATTACTTTCCCTAATCACGTGGGAATTTTCGTCGGCCCAAAAATCGCCATTGTGAAAGTTCATAATAGCATCTCGTGAAAAATTTGCTTCGTCCGTGAATAAAATATTTGGTAAAAAAGTATTATTGTGTTCCATCGTATGAATCAACCACCTGCAAAACATTATTCTTGGCTGAAAATCCCAAAGCAGTAGAGCTTAGACCCGCTGTATAAGTCTATGAAGAACTGGAGATATACCGTGAACGGCGCGAATGCGATCGCGCTTAGTTCATGGAAAAATTGGATAATATTTTTCACGCACACATGATGACGTGATAGCAGAAATACTCTTACCTGGTTTTTTAATGAACTTTTTTTAATCGTACTAGTATTGTGTATTATCTATAATTTGCCACAACCTACAACTCTACTGCTTACTATATTTTGATTCTGCTATAAACTGGTAACGTAAAATTTAGATATGACAACGCGCTTTACTCTCAATCATTATTGGTTTTACTATAGAAACATTTTATAATGTAGAAAAGTAATTTATAGATAAATTTCATTATTATTAGACAGTGATCAGCGAACATTTGAATAGTGATTGGGATAGAATGGAATGAGTATTGAATATTATTTGAACTACAAATGAACTACAAGAACCCCATTCCATGAATAGGGCCCATTTGAATGATGCCGCACTTTTGTTTTTTCTGGTGAAAAGTATTGAAAATGATATCTTTAACATAGACTTTGTCCGAACTTGATATCTTGTCCCTTTCAAAAGGCAAGAGGCAGGGTGTTTTTGCTTCCGTACTATATACTATCACATCGCCTTTGATCGTGTTCACCGCAGTAGTAGACGAAACGTCAGGCCTAAACACCTGTCAAAAAACCGGAAAATATTTTTCACAAAATAGGACACTTTTTTCACTTCAGATGAAAATATTTCATGACTATAGATGATACAGTTGTTACAGAGACAACTGTATGACATTATCCTTCTTGACACGTGATACCAATCCAACAGGAATCAAACATTATCGAACAAGTAGATGAAGCCCACTATATTGGCATCTTCAAAAATTCCAACCGTATTCAAACAAAACCTCCACGGACGAATATGCCATCCAAGCAACAGAAATAGAACAACCCCTACTTCTACCAGACATAATGCTTCCTCAAACCCCAATAACCCAGGTGGAACCAGTCCTAAAACTTCAAGACGTTCCTTTAGATGAGCTAAACAAAATCCACAGAGAGGCCGACCGCTTATTACTTTTGATAACACATATTCATCCATCATCGGGTTATATTTGGACAGTTCCAGCTTAAGCTATAATCATAGTATGTTTTTTATCTTTGTTATATACAAATACAAGCACCTGTTAGTCCAACACCAATCACCTGAAGGACTTCAAGAGGGAAATACAGATCCACCCTTACCAAGGCAGCGAAAAACATTTTTCTCTTCGTGAACCCCTGTTTTCCATCTTCGGAGGAAGGAATTGCGTTGTCACTGACCCGGGATTCTGCTGACACTCAGCTACAATTCCTAGGAAAGCCTCTTATCAGCATAGCCGGCTAGAGAGCAACGCCTCGGGGACGACCTTATCCAGTTAGTCTGATTTTAAAGATGTATTGTTAAACATCGTTTCTATAATTTTTATGTATTGAATAAAAAAATGTTTTAAAGGCTTCTCGGTTTCTAGCGCAGTCGGTAGGACTTTGAAAAGTTCGTGAAATGTTTGCTTCAGTTTTTACTGTTTGTTCAAAATCGCGAACGTACGCATCCATCGTGGAAACATAAGTCACGTTATTGTTCACCTATCAAACTAACCTATCTAACTAAAAGCAATTCTTTCTTTTATTTGAGAAAAGTTAATGCTGGCTCCACCTTCAAAAATATCGACCGTGTCTCAACAAAATAATACCACACAAACTCTTTAACAGCATCCTCTTTGT